ATATATAGTCACTTTACATGTTTTTTTAATAGTGAGTTCTAGTAAGATTCACATCAAGAAATGTATGAGATCAGATTAAATGAGATTAAATATGAAATTCATGATCTCAGCAGCCAGTCTAGATGTGTGTGATGTTGAGCTTAATAGCATGTAGAGCATGTACAGAATAATGCATTGAATTGAGACTATTCAAACACACTGAGAGAATGAGAATCTTCACATACTGAGCAGCAGTGCATGAAATGAGTATATTAATAAATGTATAGGTTGAAATGAATGTAGAAAAGAGTATAAAGAATGTAAATACAGTAGAGAACATCTGTAAAGAAAAGAATGAAGATTAATATCAGAGCTGTACAGACTGCAGAGCTGACTGTTCAGATAAATTCATTTTAATGAGATGCATGTGATATCATGTGAGGTTACATTACAGGGCATTTTACTTGAAAAAGTTGGTTTTTCTATAATATATAGAGAGATGATATTTAAATAGTAAAGTATGAAGATCTGGTCTAAACTGCAGTTTTTATTAATATAAAAGAAGCATTTAATCATATTTCAAAGTCAAAGTTAATTCAGACTTTAAAGATCTATTCTGATTTACTCAGATGACTTAAAAAATGAGAATTTGAATAGATTAGATACAGACATTACTTATACTGAAGATAATATTAACTTTATCTCACATTTCTGAAATGTAGACTGTGAATCTAAGATCTTTGATACTGAACTATTTGCAATAGTGAAAGCTTTCAAACTCATTGAAATATAATCTTATAAAAGAGAAAATAGTTTGAAAGAGATATAAATATTCTCTAATAGTCAAGCTGCTTTAAAAAGACTTAGAAATAGTTAGATTCATAATAATCAAATGAATCTTGAACTGATTTTAAACTCTGTTTTAAAAATTCAAAAGAGAAGAATATTAAAACTGATAATTTATCTGCACTAAGTTCCTGCTCATATAAATATTCATGACAATGAATTGACTGATTCAGCTGTAAAAAAGAGTTCAGAATTAAGCAGATCTATTTAAAAAACAGTGTTCTGATCTTTTATAAAGAGAAAGATAAAAGAATTCTATTTAAATAAGTAAAATAAAAGCTGACAGAAATAAAAGAAGAGTATAGATTATTCAAGATTTGAGATAAAATTAAAGTGAAAATCTTGTTTAATTAAATATAAAAAGAAAATATTCTCATCTATAATTCAGTTAAAACTAGAATATAATTATTTCAAATTCTATATACAAAGATTTAATAATAGATTTGATTCAACAGAGTACTTATTCTGCAATGTAAAGAAAAATCCTAAGTATATTATAATGTATTATGTATTATACAATAGTCTCAGAGTCAGATTAAAGAAGAAGTATGATTTAAATTAATTAAATATAATGTTCTTATTCTCAACTGAGACAGAAATTAAATACTTAATAGACTTTCTATCTGAAACTCAAGCAGCTATAAGAAAATGACTGAATTCAGAAGTATCTGAATATGAAAAGATGAAAATTAATTAGATATAATCTGTTAAAACAGCTATTTACTATCTTTTAATAATTTTATTTTATTATAGTCTCTCTTTACTATACTTGTTTCTTTCTGTTCTTTTCTATCTATCTATTTAATATATCTATCTTTAAGACTATATTCTCTTTTTCTTTATTATGATATTTTTAAATAATTTCAAAGTATTAGAAGATGTTGAAATACTGTAATTTATAAACAGTTTTTATATTCTGAGCTAGAATTTTCTGATTTTATATATCTGAAATTAGTAAATGTATAATAGTTGACTCTATAGATATAGGAAAAACTCTGAGAACTAAAGATTCTCAGATAGATGTTATAGTCTCTGACTATATATATTTATAATTGAAGAAGAATAATAATAATAATAACTGCTACAGTGTTATTCATCTTTTTCCTATGTAGTTATTCTCTATTAATAGTTGTGAATTACATGGAATTCACCTATACAAGTCACATGCAGCTGATCATATTCATGAATATCTCATTACATTCAACCTGAGGGATTAAACAGCACGTTTTTCAAGCTGAATAAGTGAGCGCAAGCAAGTGATTGAGGCTTGTGAAAGAATAATAATAATAATAATAATAATAATGTTGAAGCTACTACACAAGCTCTAACCCACGTGACTCACACACATTCATATATTGTTGAGAGTTCCGGGGGTTGATCGGCCCTTCTACCGAGCAGCGCTGGTGGTGACTGAGCTCTTTTGCCCCAGTAGCCTACATATATTTAGCTTTCACTAGCTGCTAGTTAGTTAGATAACAACAACCAACCACATTCAACCTCTCTCACATAGTGGTTGATCACGCGATCTAGGGAGATCGCCACAGCCAATAGCCGCAACGGCCGTAACGGCCAACAGCTTCTCACAGATCTCTCAAAAATACTCAAGTATAGAGGCCCAGGCATAGAGATTTAGAGTCCCCCCCCCCGGGTATGGAAGAGACGCCCTGTGTATAGAGCCCCCGAGTATAGAGCGGCCCCGGCCCCCGGGTATAGAGATCTCTGAGCATAGAGACCCTGAATATAGAAACTGGCATATAGAGACTGTCCCAGTCCTTCACTGATATGAGTCATTATTTCATACAACCTCCAATGAGGAGATCTTGATTGCTAATACAATCAGATGTGTGTTCATTGTAACCACAAGTACGGAGTATAAAATTCTCATTTGACACATTTGTCACTATAGACTGCCGTAGGCGGGGCAAGTCCTTAGTCCATTCCATGCAAGGCAAAGCGGGAGTTGCCGCCTGTCACGTCTGCCAAGCGTGACTAGTAGTTAGCTAATGGCTAGTTAATCGCCACCCAACGGTGGCGGGGGGAACCGACAACCGCCGCTATACAACCCTTATTGCAACTGTGCACTCCAACCCAGACAGTTCTGGATTAATGTCATGCTATTTTCAGGGTTGAAAGGGAAGATGCTGGCTGTCTGCCAACAAGAACTATTTCCCCCGGTCCTCAGCTCTCACCGCAATTGTCGTTACCTGGCTCGTCATTGCTCCGACCCCTCTCTAGCTGCGGAACAGTTTGAAGGCTCACTCCCCCTAGAGCGCCCGAGTGGATATTACCCGCATCGATATCTTCGAGTCCACCTAATCTTTCACGAAAGCCTGATATGTCGGCCTCCTCTCTTGTCCACCTCCCCAATGGGCTCTCTCTCTCCGTCACCGCTGTTTTTGGGGGGGTGTCATTTAAGCTAAATGAGATGGCCATCAACCCCTCCGTCCTACCTCCCGGATGGACCATTGTCATTCGGACAGAGAAGGGTCACTTGAATTCCCAGCACGAACACGAACACCCATCTTCCTCTCAATCTGGCGCATCTAGCGCAATTCCCTCGAGAGAAACATCGTTGTCTCCGCCAGGCGAATTGTCCGTAGAAGAGTCGAAGTCGAACACAAGAGAGGGGCTTCGTCATGGCCGTTTCGTAAAACCCACTCTAAATAGTGATTGCCTATTCATCTCGTCAATTTCCCTTCCCTCCAGCAGCCAGTTTAAACCAGCCACCTCTCCGACTCGCCAAATCGCCATGTTGCTCTACGCAACCCTATGGTGGTATTTTCACCTGCCCGCTCCAGACCCGCACATCTCAACTGAAGAGTCAAAGTTAACCCCAGATTCAGGAAAGCCAAAAGGAGGATGGCGCGTTTATATCAAGCGCCAGGGAATCTTCAAGGGAAGGCATCTCATGCAGAAACTAGAGCGAATGGGTTTAATCAGAACTACAGATTCCTTCGTGGGCTGTGGGCCGGCTGACGTGCATGATGCCACTGGGTGGACGAACATGTTCACCAGCCGTCGTACCTTCTGGCAAACTGATGCGCGCATTTTTCTCTTCAAGCTCTCCCCTAGGCATATCACCCCTCCCACCTTCGAGTTCCCGGGTAGCCCCGATCGGGACTCTGTCTCCGTAACGACGGACATGAGCAGTACTGGGACAATTAGCCCCCCAGAAAACATGAACTTCGTGGTTCCTAGAAGGCGCGGCGATCCATTTACTTCGGGTAGTAATTTACCTACTTTCTTTCCCCCGCCTCCTCCAGAATTTATCTTCACGAATGGGATACGCCACCCGCTCCGCCAGAAGCCCCCCCGACAGGGTGAGGTCTTTTACACCCGTTATATCCCTAGTTTACGGCAAACCCTATCGTTTCGAGTTCCAATCTTGCCTTCTAAATTATCATCAGCCCTAGGCAACATACAAATTTATCATAAAAAGTCCAGGAGCGCCCCTTCAATTTCCTCAACTACGGGTTCAGAGGTTGTGGATCCGGAAGATTCTCCTTCTGATCTCGAGCTCTTGTCCAGGTGGATGAATAATCCTCGAGTCAACAAGGCTTGGGGCGTTGCTGGACCCCAGTCGGTCCAAGAGAACTTTCTCCAAGCTCAGTTCAACTCGCGACACTCATTCCCTGCCTTTGGCTGCTGGGATGGCCGCCCGTTTGGATATTTTGAAATCTACTGGGTAAAGGAGGACGCTCTAGGACCTCTGGTACCTGGGCCTGTAGGCAACTATGATCGGGGCCTTCATTGCCTCGTAGGCGAGGAGGAATTTAGAGGTCCTCACCGCGCCCCTGTTTGGCTCTCAGCGTTGGTCCATTTCTGCTGGCTGGCTGATAACAGGACGGAAACAGTAATGATGGAGCCAAGGGTTGATAACACAAAGTGAGTTGGATTTTTTTTTTTTTTTTTTCTTCTCATTTCAGCGCTGTTTGGCAACGATTCGTTCGGCCATCCACTAAGCTCGTCTAAAAAACAGTATGATTTCCTATCTTCAGGCTATCGGTTTTAGCAAGGATGGCGAAGTTACCTTTCCACATAAACAATCCGCTTTGATGAGAATCAGACGGGAAAACTGGGAAGCTCCTTTGCTCTAGCTCTTTATCCGTACATCACGCACGCCTTCTCACCTCCACCCCGCGGAGGCAGTGGGAAGTTGGGTTCTAAAGGCGGATTGGTAGAGGGATCTGTAATCGCATGCCAGTAGCTATCACCCCTACTACCCCCGCCAACCATCAGCAAATATTTACAACTTCCAAGGGTATAGCTGCAGTGTACCCTACATAGGGATTGCGTTTCAAAACCGCCTTAAACGGTATACGCATAACCGCGCCGCATTGCGCAGTTTGTATAGCTCTCTCCTTTTCTCATCCAAAACACGGCCGCCCTCCCTTTATACTCCATTCAACCCCCACATCTACATTTATCTAAGTCGGGAAACTATACTCTACCTGAACAGACTACTGTGTGAAGTACTGCTGTAAACATAATTTCTATTTTTATCGCGAAAAACAAGTAATCCCATGCTTAACATGATATTTTACGACTAAACGCAAACGAGCACTTGGGAATGGTAACAAATTATCTTTTCTCTTTGGTTTCGGCTCATGGTTTAGTAGGGAGCTTTGTTTATAGCTGTATTTCCGTTGTTTTATTGGTATTGTTCCATCTATAAAAGAAACATATATAGTTCCTTGTTTTAGAGGGCCACCGGAATGTCATTCATTTGATTTGAAAGATGTGTCTGTATATAGTAGCAAGGGGAAATTCTAAAAATGGGGAGTCTAGTTGCAATGCCAGGTCCTTTTGCCTTCTTCAGCTTGAACTTCTGAATTCCGTACATGTGCATGTAAGGCGTGAACACGCCACTAATCCTTCATATTGTTTGAATATGGTTTGTTATCTCTATTCGTTGTTTTCACCTAGAGAACGGACGGACTAAAGAAGAGCATAATAACCATCAAACAGTATTCTAGCGAATTGTGTGATTTGGGCAACCGTTGAGGACAAGAATCGATCGGTTGATAAAGCAAGGAAGAATCCGAATGGAATAGTAGAGCTCGGGATAACGGGGCGGACGGATCAGCATGCTTGATAGAGACGTGTCATATCTCCAATTCATCCACTATGGAATTTCAGTTCTATTATTCACAGGCCGAAACTTCAAGCTCGTAATCTCTACCTTCATCAAACCATCAAATGCAAATATCATATCCATGGATACTCTTCCTCCACGGGAAATCCCTAGTATTCCACATCATGAGGACAGTTAGGTCGGCCACGTATGGTTGCCGGGCGGCGATGAGGGCGGTTGACTAGACACGGCTGAGTGTGATGGTATTCGGAATGCCGGGAAATGAAAACCACCGAACTTCTACTTTCCATTCGTTAATCGCACAGCCTCCATCTGCCTCATAAGCGTCCAGCTGCTTTCCTCCTCATCTATCCCAACAGCCAATTCGATCGTGGTTTTCGGACGGCTCTTGTTCAGTCCTTCAAGCAACATGCAAGCTTTGCAAATCCTTTGGCTAGCCATATAACCACATCGCTCGCATTGACCCATGGTTTGCAACTTCACCTGCTTTTGACCTGGACCTCTACCTCTACTTTGAGGTTTCCTATATGGTGAAATCTCGGTTTCATTAGCAGTAATTCTCCGGTCTTTCCTCAGTTTCTTTTCCATCTCAATCAATTCTCCGTCGTTTGTCCTCCCGCCCTCGTTACCGCACCCGCCAGCCGCGAAATCATCTCTCTCTCCCTCAGTGGATGTGGCCAAAGGACGGGTAGCACATTTGCCGGATCCACTTATTTCTGGAGGTACTAGCCTCGCCATGTCTTCCCCGCTCCTGACAATATCCAATATAGAGCTTGGGCGAACTTTCTCCAGGTCCTTAATCAGCGTCCTAGCACTCCCTCGAAACGCTTCTGGTGAATAGATACATTCTGTACTAAAATAATCCAGTTTCTTGTGGTGCGCGTACAGTACTATTTCCTTCTCATAGGCATACTTGAGTGGTTTGCTCCGTTTAATGTCGCTTGCCGTCGACTCTGTCACAATGCTGGTTGCCCGTGCTAGTCGAGGTAGATCGCCCCGTAGTAGGTTCATCATAACAGTCTCTGCAACATCATCCGCATTATGTCCAGTAACGACATGTTTAATGGCTAACTTGGCAGCACCGCGGTCAAGCGCCTGTCTCCTAAACACTCCGCAGTAAGTGCAATTCCCTTTTTTTCCAATCTCTGAAACTACTTGGTCCATCGTCCAGCCGTATAGTTCACCGTAGCCCACTATTTCCAAAGGCATGGAATATTGCACCGCATTGCGCTTAACTGTTTCCAGGCTATTATCGCGATATCCGTGGATTCCCTCATCGATGGAGAGGAGCATAAGCTCCAGGCCATAACTATAACGCTCATTTAACGTTTTCAGAACCGAGGCGAGGACCGTGCTGTCCTTGCCGCCACTGGCACCGATTGCGACGCGTTCACCTGGGTAAAAAAGAGCGTTGGCGGTTATGGTATTGTGGATTTCAGTTTCAAAAATTTCAAGAAAGCAGGGTTTGCAGAGCTTATGTCTGTTTTTGGGGCGTATTATGAGGGCACGAGCGGAATTGCATCGGTAGCATATAGTGGGAGCCATCGTTTGGACTTTGATCGGCCAAAATGGCTGGGGGTGAGACATACAACTTGTAACAAGCATGAAGAGATTTGGAGTTTTAATTGTCAGAATGCCGTGATCACGTGACCTGAATTACTAGACAAAGTTAGAATCTTGTCTTAGCAGGCTCAGACTCTGTTCTACTTAGTTGCACCGCAAAGTATTATTCTCTAATGAAAACAAGCATCAA